CTTTGGATTCTCACACAAGTACCTTTATTGCAAATAAAATTAGCACGATTATAGAAAAAATTGGATCATCAAAATTTGTTGCTATAGTAACTGATAATGAATCAAATATTAGAGTAGCATGTTGAATTATTAATGAAACATATCCACATATTATAAATATTCAATGTATTGCACATTGGTTTAACTTAATTTCAAGTGATCTAGTTAATATATCATCAATTAAAACTACTTTAACGAATGAAAGTATAGTAATAAGTTTTTTTAAAAAATCATATCTTGCAAGTCGTTTACTTCGTGATGGAATAAATATTATGAATATTCGAGGTGGTGGTTTAGAATTATTTACTAAAACTAGATGGGCTTCAGCATTTAGCACTGCAGATTTATTAATTTGGTCTAAACCTGTTTTTGACAAAATTCTTGATGAAAATCACAATGCAATCACAAATGATACAGGTTACAAGTTACTAAAGGATGAAGATGAAACTTTTTTTAGTACTTGTCATCAAATAATCACAATATTTCGTCCAATTAAAGAAATAATAACTGTATTAGAATCACAAACTGCTAATTTAGCTGATTGCTTTATTAATTTAGTATGATTAGGTGCTACAATTAATAAGCTATCAAATAATAATCTATTTAAAATAAATGCTATTAATATTTTTAATAAATGATATGCAAGTCTTGATATAAATATTTATTTACTTGCATATTATCTTTATCCTCAATACTATGGAAATGGTTTAAAAGGTTTTAAATTTTGGGATCTTTGTAGATATGCATTAGAGTTGTATTCAAAACAATTAAATAACAAAACAAAACAACTTCATGATAAACAAGATTATAACGAATTAATTAATCAGCTTTGTAGATATAAGACTCAAGATAAGCCTTTTAATTTTCTATATGATAATGTTTATCAAACACCAATGCTATGGTGGTCTATTATTGATGATGAGTATTCTCATTTGCAAAAACTTGCAAAGATGATATTTTTAATAACACCTTCACAAGCTTCTTGTGAATGCACTTTTTCAGTTTTAAAATGGTTATATGGTGATAAAAGAACACGACTTCAAACTACAAAATTAGAAGCTATGGCGAAAATACATTCATGATATCTTTCAAATATTACTAAAGAACTACATTTTTATGATAACAAACTTTCAATTCAGGATCTATATAATGACATTCTAGAACAAACTGCATTTGCTAATTGGGAAGATTCTCATGAGCCAATCTATAAAGATATCAATATTGAATCTCAGCAACAAGTTGTTGAAAAATTAGAAATTGGTGATTTAATTAATTTAAATGATTCTATGATAGTTAAAGACAGTAGATCGAAAGATATTGAAAGCTATAATAATAATTATATTGAAGGTCGTGGAAATTTAAATTTTAACATAGATGATATTGTAAATAAAGGTCTAGAAAATACAAGACAACAATATTCAAGCCTTTAATATAAAATCAATATATATCTATTCTTTCTAAATCATTCTTTTGCTTTATTTCTTACATCATTTTTAGCTATAGATTATATATAACTTACATTTCTTTGCTTGTATTTCAATCTGTAGTATTTGCATCTATCTTTTATCACTTCGTAGAATTGATATGTTTATTTGAAAACATTTATCAAACCAATTATGTTTTGAAATAAATAAATGACGCTTATTATATAAAGAATACAAAGTTAATGTTTTTATAATATTCATTTACAAAATAAATTAATTTTATTGTTATTATAGTTATTGTGAATTTTAGTTTTTGGCAGTCTGAATTCGGCACATGACTAAACTACCAGTTTAGATTACATCACTAATTTGGGACCTTGTTTCGGCAGAATCCCAAATTGGTTTCGGTAGTTTGGGATTCGGCACACGACGAAACTATCGGGTTTGGGTGACATCCCTAGTCATGTCTGAAAATCATCATTTGTTACAACATTTGAATATAAGGATTTTTAAATTTTAATTGTGAAACAGACCATGAGAAAGTGGATTAAATCATGCGCAGAAGTTGTCTGTATACAGAAGAAAGTATAACATATGTCCTGTGAAGGTGCTATATTAAAAAGATTAGTTTTATAAAAACGAACTATAATATTTATAAAAGTACTAATTAGAATCTGATTATATTTATCTAAAAGTCTATAATAATTAAGGTTCTAGAAATTTATTAATACAATAAATAAATTTACTAAATCAAAAACGATTAACATAAAATGTTAATAAGAAGTAACCTAAATTTCGTTAAAATTTCTGAAGAGATACGTAAAATTTTATGCTAAAACAAATTTTCTTAGTAAAAAAATCTCAAATTAAGCATTTATAATCATACTTTTTTTATGATAAAAAAATTTATATCATTAAAAAACATGATTATAACACATTTAATTCGAGATTTTTTACTAAGAAAAAACTTGATATTTGTTATTAAAGTAAGTATATATATTAATGTAAAGTTAATTAACAAAAAGTAGTTTAAATTTCATCAAAATTTCAAGGTAGGTAGAATTTTATGCTACGAACAACTTTCACTTAGTGTACAAAGATCAAAATTCTTATCGATTTTGCATCGATCACGATCGATCAAAGTATGCAGCTACAGTATATTTATGTGATCGATCATCGTATGTTGTACACCAATGCAGTGATTTCTTATACTCATACGTAGAACAATATGGTTAACAATCCAAGAGAAACTTGCTTAACAAAAAACGTTTCATCATAAACTAGCTGCATTCCGACGCAATTTATTATCCCCCAAATATTAATTATATCTTTATTATTGCATATATGTCAAAAGCTTTAACCTCTAAGTTATTACTACCTATCTACATGTTCAGAATGACAACGAGATTATTTATTTAAGAGATTTCAAATCCCTAAATAATGTATTTCGAAGCTTATATTTATTAACACTATTACTTACGTATGCATTACTTATGTATATACGTACGTAGGTACACAAATAGCAATGTATTTTTTATCTCACAAAGATAAGATATATTCATTATATAAATTTCTTCGTTTACCATCTAAAAATTCGTCATAAGCTGTCTGTATAACACCACACCAAGATGTTGGATGAATCGTGGCATTCCATTGATTATGCCAATGATAGGCAAAAATACCACGAAAGAAATTGTCTATATTTCGAATTTCCAAAGGTGAACTATCAAATGTTGTAGGATCAAGTCCGGAGATCTCGCCAGGAGTTAAATTAGGATTGAATAAATCAGTAAATTCATGAAGATTCGGTGATAATATGGATAGTGGTTGTATCTCATCTTGTTTCAACCATAAAGGATCAAACAATCCAGATGGAAGCATGTAAATAAGTTTGTTAGTTTCTTCACGAGAAGAATCATTGTGTGTGGACAAGTAATTTGTGATGTTAAAGGGATGAAAGTTCATGTTATTGTTTATAGCACCACGAATCACCATTTTAGAAGATGGACTCTGTTTCCAAAGACGTAGAACTGCGGTATTGAACTGTTGTGTATTGCTCCAACGATAAGCAAATTCAAAATTTGCATAGTATAAAGGACGCATGTCACGAACCAGAAATACGTCGGAGTCAATATATATACCACCATAGTTATGAAGAACTACAAAACGGAACATGTCACTAATCTTGACTGAATTCTTAAAATATTCAGGTCCCTGCCACCCGGCATATACATCACTAAATGAAAGTTGCTCCACCATGTCCCAGGATTTAAATTCAATAAGAGTTGGGGAATATTTTAATAAAGAACGAATATACTTATTATCATTAAGGTTGGTATCATTCATATTATCGAGCCAGACATAGAGCGTTGAGCATTCAAGAGGTTGACTATAAAGAAAAGATTTCATCACCAAAGCAAGTTTATCAGTAATTTTGCCTTGCCAAAAAACGTGGAAAAGCATTGGTGGATGGTTGCGATTACATGGAGGAGGTGGTGAGGCACCTTTTATGGTTGAAAATGAAACCATATAATCATCTTCATTGTCGAGATATTTTAGACAATTTTCAGTCATAATGTTTTTTATATCCCCACAGTTCTTCTCTAAACGGTCAACATGAACGACATAACCTTGTTTTGGACGCTTACGGCCGCTTAACAGAAGTGGGGGAGCTGTTGTTGATTCCTTATGAAAAATTTCAATCTCGATATTTTTAATATTAATATCCAAATGAATATCCAAATAAATATAAGTTGCATAAAATAAACAACAGATTAAAGTAAATATTATGTATATGAATTTCATTTCGTATTAGAGCTTGGAGTAAAGTTAATGTTTGCTAGGTTTCGTTGGAAACTGAATTTTGCAATATTTATGTACTCGCATGTGTTAATTTGTAATACCGAACTATTATAAATAACAAAGTTATATATTGATATATCGATATATTCCGTAACACTTATCTATCAATTGAACTAAAAATGAAGATTATTACGTAGACTTAAATTATAGAGCAGAGGCTCTACCTTGTTTAGTGCGGTTGGGGGTGTAACCCGGATTGCATAAGGAGAGCATCTTCATGCGTTGCGAATACGTACGTACGTACAAAGTAAACCATCTAATTATAGAAATTTTACGTACTAAAACGAGGTAGCTAAATTATAATAAATCGAAAAAGACCTCTGCTAAATTATAATAAATCATAGAAGACCACATAAGTTTTTTGTTCATAACGATAATGTTGATTTTACATGAATCTTCGTACGCACATGAATTAGGAAATCCAAAATGCAGTTTTTTAATTATGAATAAAGGTTAAAACATTTACTTTATTGATTCAATAGTTTATCGAATAACTAAAGGTAAAAAAATGATTAACATATAAACATGAACCGAAAAAATCGATTAGTTGGTTAGTTGACAACTAATCGATGGAACTTTTAGACACTGGCTAATCGATTAATCGATTAATCGATTAGTTGCAACTAATCGACTAAAGGGTTAATCGATTGTTGCAAAGAATCGGTTGAAAAATTATTTATTTATTATAATGAATTAGTTGCAACCAATCGATTAATCGATTAATCGATTAGTTGCAACTATAGATCTGACTTATTTTATAAACCGATTTTTTATATAGGACGTAACTAGGTGATGTCATAAGCCTGCCCTGCATCTATGGTTGCAACTCGTCGATTAATCGACTAATCGACTAGTTGCAACCAATTGGAAAAATAATTAACAACTAATCGATTGAAAAAATTTTGTCGATTTATAACACTAACGAACCCAATCGGAACTGTCGGGGGGTGATTTACAGTTATATATTTTTATAAATAATCTTTAACGTTAACAGGAATAACTTCTAATCTACTAATATATCGTTTGGGTAAGTAAATTATCAAAAAAGGACCAATTATTCACTGTTAAATTTGAAACTGTCTGTAAAATAAACTCTTCAAAATGAACTTGCCTATGAATTAAGTTTTTTAAAAAAAATTGAACATTGTGACATGCCATCCCTGTTTAATTGTCTATAAAATGAAATGTCTATGAAATGATTTGATACGTACGTACGTACGTACCCGCTCTCATAGATTCCTGTAAACAATTAGCCGAATGATTTTTTGGCCGATCCGGTTATTAGTATAATAGATCCAATAAAAATTAATCCGATTCAGTACTAACACTTTACTAACTCTTTCTAAATCACAATCAATTCGATACGGCAGGGTAATATACTAATTAATTCTGACTATGAATTTACCATAGTACGTTTGGTCTAAACCGAATGACAATCACGAAGACTAAAATCTGATTGGTAATTTTAAATATCGCGTGCATGGACATTAGGACATATATGTAATCGCATAAAGAAGTCGAAAAATCGGGTAATTCCTTTTTAATCCGCAATAAATGCCATAAATATGACAAATCCACAAATATTGTATGACAAATACAGTACGTACAATAAAATGAATAAATGATGCGATAAATGAAATAAATATAATAAGTGCAATTTATTAATCACACTGCAGCTTCGGTGTCGAATCCGGTTCACAATGGATTCCATCTGCTAGGAAAATCATTGTTTGGCATTTGCTTTCTTTTCTAGCAGATGGCTATACGATTAGGGAAGGGACTTGGCTCTGTATTTGTCACAACCCAACGGAAAATCTTTTTTTTCGAAATTATTTCTCATCGGAATAATTTTAAGGAATCGGAAATTATATAACAATCGAGAGATAATATGAACTAATAAAAGGAAACTTTGGGTAAGGCAACTAGCTAGAAGAATGTCTATAGTAATTTGGAATGTTTCTCTAGAATGCTGTATAGCGATTATTATTTGCACCTTCATCGCACATAAGAGTCGTAACCAATCACTCTCGATGTTACGCCTTTTAAATGACTTACTTGGAAATATACTTGACTGACTTTCACAGAAGTCATTAAAATAAACGATAACTGAATTAATCTAAATGATAATAGCACAAATTTAATTA